TAATTTTTAATATATATATATATTTTTTATGGTCCTTTGGCCTCAAGACAAATCCTCGTACCTGGTTAGCGCGCCCGTTTTTCTCGATCAACTAACTTTCAAAGCGTTGCATTTTTTATATTTATATTTATATTTATATTTATATTTATATTTATATTTATATTTATATTTAGCTTTCATTTATCCGGTTGCATCACACTGGGCGTGGAGCTCCGACGGTTGGCTGTACGTGACGGCGTTCACGGACAACGCCGGCTCGGGCGTGGTGCACATGCTCGGCGGCATCTGCGCCCTGGTCGGTGCCGTGCTCATCGGCCCGAGGATCGGCCGCTTCGAGGAGAAGACCGGGCGGGCCTTCGACATCCGCGGGCATTCCGTGCCGGTGGGTGGCAAGTCTTCTCCCGCGCTTTTCGCTGCCGGCGTCACGTGGGCGTCGTTCCCGCGTTCTCTTTCAAAATTCGAAATTTATACTTTTGTTTTTTTTATTTAATTTTTCTTTACTTTATTTCTTTATTTAGTTCAAATGCCAAAAATGTAACTTAATTCATAATGTTACATTTAGTTTATTTACTTATGTATTTAATTCAGTTTATTAATGTTTCAATGCTATTTAATTAATAATTTTACCGTCACAACTTAATCTTCAACTCATCCCAGCTAGCGACACTTTCAAAATTCCTCAAAATTTCACAATTAAAATCTAAAAAATTCAATTCAAATTTTTTTTTACTTCTCCACCCTATTAATTAACATTTAATTACGTGAAATCCCAGCTGGCGGCGCTGGGCGGCTTCATCCTGCTCTTCGGCTTCCTCGCCTTCAACGCCGGATTCCACGGCCACATCAGCCAGCCGGGCGACGGCGCGATCGTGAGCCGCTCCATCATGAACAGCCTCCTCGGCGCCTGCGGCGGGGGGCTCGGCACGCTCGTCCTGGCGCGCCTGGGACTCTGTTTCACCACCGCCGGCGGCGCCTGGAGCTTTCTCCTGACGCTCAACGGCACGCTGGCCGGCCTGGTGAGCTCGCCTTCAGATTTATATTAAATTTTAATTTTATTGTAATATTAATTTAATACTTACATAAAAATTTTAATGTTTATTTTTTGTTAGTAATAATTTAATATTCTTATATTAATTACCGGGAAAATTTTCACTCCTTGAGGTTATTGAGCTTTCTTTTAGTGATATTATAATATTAGGAGATATTTCTTACCAATATCAATCGATTGATATTGTGGGGTGACATTTTTCCCCACATCTTTACACCGGGTGGCCCCAAAAAAAAACGTTCCGAACTTAACACGCCTGCAGACGGTGTACCATACGAGTTATCGATAGAAAATGAACAGGCCTTTACATGCAATGTTTGCAGGTACAGTATCAAAAATTTCATCGAAATAGGTTGTAAACCACGCGAGCAACAATTTTTCTCCCGCGCGACGTCAAAAAGAGCGAGTGTGGAAAGGAACGGCGCGACGGGGTCCACGTCCGCACGCCCGCACGCGCACTTGCTCGTTCGACGACTTGCACGGAGAGAGCTCTCATTCGTGTTCAGAGCAAGGAATTTTGTGGAAATTTGCCGAAAGCCACCAACCTATATTGGGTACGACGCACGGAAAATTTCAAAACAGTGCTTGGCATGGTGTCCCGTCTGCAGCAGCACTAAGTTCGAAACTTTTTTTTTTCGGTATATATATTATAAATCGGTGATGAAGTCCTCGTGCAACTTTAACCTTTAATAACAAACGTCGGATACCAGTTGGAGAACACGGCATCGTAATATATACCACGTCGTGCGATCGAGAGGAAGGCCGAGCATTTTAATACCTATTGAGATATTTACTTTTAAAGCAGTACCACTCCGGGGGGAATTCCGTCGTTCGCGACTCGAAGGGCGCTCGGACCGGTTTCGCTCTCGGTTTGACCTTCATTTTTTACATGCATTTTTTATTTTTAACCATATGGAGAGGGTGAAATAACATATAATATATATATAAAAGAATGCGCTGGGAGCGGAGCGGCATTTTTTTTCTGTAGCAATTTTCAACTCGACCCCCTTAATTGGCCCGGCCAGGAATTCCAAGTTTAGGAAGTAAAAAATAATTAAAAGATGTATTTTTTTATTTTGCGGGAAAAATCGTTTGCGCCGTTATCTCGACCTTGCGTTGGGGCCCGTTCCGTTCCCCTCGAACGTTCTGGAACCCTTGCGAGAGCGGTTGAGGCTGAAACCAGCAGGTTTTCAACACGGTCACCGTTCAATCACCGTTCAATCACCGTTCAATCGCAATCTTTTACCGCGACGAAACTCGGGTTGAGACTTGCGCGCCATTTTACGCCCGCTGATTGGATTATGAAAGTTTTGAGGAAAATTTTTTTCCAATGAAAAGCGGAATACGGATACGGAATTTCGTCGCACGCGAGAACGGGAGTTCCGCTTTCCGCCGGACGGGGGTTCCGCTGCTTTCGCCGAAAGCGTCCGCCTGCGCCCGGCGGCTTCCGCGGACTTCTTTTTTTTTTTTCGAGCCGTTTCTCGCTCGGCATAAATCCACCAAGATTCGGACCCCGTTCCCTCGGCTGCCAAGGGATTTAGAGGAAAACGGAAAACAGAAAACGAAGGCCGATTTATTTCAGTTTCCCGCGGGATTGAAAAAAGAAAAGTTGATTGGCACTCACGGTCGGGACCGGTGACGCAGTATTTTCACTGGCGTGTCCTCCAAGTCCTCCGTGTTCCTCCCATGCCCTCCACGTCCTCCGTGTTCCTCCCATGTCCTCCACTCGATAAGGGAAATGATGGATTCCGGGCAGGTTCGCATCGGAAGCAGCCCCAAGGCTGGCTCGAAAACCCATGACTAACCGGTGGCTGACCGGAGGGTTACCATATCGACCTCGGAGTTCGCCTACGTGCGACGTCTTTTTTTCGTCCGGAAGAACGAAAACGGGTCGAAATTCGGCAAGCTAAAATTTGATTATATTTGTACCGTATTTATATTGGTGAACCGTATTTATTTATATGATAATTCCGCTGTAAGAACTCTTCGCTCTGGCATTTTGGTTTCGCTCCGTTGACTCCCACAAGAGGTCAGGAATTTTTCAGAAATTCCAAGGAAAAAAGGATCAAGATCCTATCAAGGTTAAAAAAAAAGAAGTTTAAGTGGATTCTAAGAACTGTTTGCCTGAAAATTAAAAGGGATTTGAAGACGGTCGAGCCATCTGGCATCGAAGGACGCCGCCGGGGAGGCAGTCGATGACGAAACGGCGCATCCTTGCCTCCTGGATGAGAAATTCTGGCGGAAATTCTCGGGATTCGCGGCGCGAATAAAACAGAACCGGGGAAAGCCGGATTCCCCCGTTCCGAGAAGGGATTCAAGGGGAGACGAACTCGCTCGAACGAACTCGCTTCCCTCTCGAGTCTAATGTGGAATGAATGAATGAATGAATGAATGAATGATGAAGGAAACATGACCAGGTGGGCGTCTGCGGCGGCAGCGACGTGTTCTACCCTTGGGCGGCTCTCCTCACGGGGACGATCTCGGGCTTCATCTTCCTCTGCCTCCACGACCTCCTCCTCAAACTCAGAGGTGAGGACTGAGAGTCGAGAGAGGGAGGGGGGGAGGATGGAGGTTGGGAGGTTGACGGTTTCCTTGTTTGCAGTGGACGATCCGCTGGATGCCTTCCCGGTGCATTTCGGCGGGGGGCTGTGGGGGCTGGTCGCCGTCGCGCTGCTGGGGCGGGATGGTATCATCCTCAGCTCTGCGTCGCCCGAGAGTCTTCAGGTGAGGTGGTGACGTCACGGCTTGGGTCTGCTGGGGGGGGGGGGAAGCAGATGACGCCGAGTGAATGACGTCACGGCTGGAGTCTGCTCCGTGGTCGTCTGTCGCTCTCGCGCGATTTTAACACAACGTGGACGTTGCCTCTTAAAGTTGATGATGATGGGCAACGATGAGCAGTATTGATGATGATGAGCGATAATGGATTCATCAGGTCTTGGGATGGAACATGGTGGGAGCGGTGGCCATCGCAGCCTGGTCGGGCTCTCTCTGCATCCTTCTCTTCGGGGCCCTTAAATTCGCAGGGCTCTTGCGGGTCTCCGCCGAGATGGAAATCCACGGTAGGGACTTCGTCGCCTTCCGCGATCCCGGTCCTGGGATTTCGTGACGGCACCGTTTTCCTCTCTCTCCCCGCGCCCAGGTCTGGACATCCTGAAGCACCAGGAGCCGGCGTACCCGTCGTCGGCGTGGGAGGAGCTGATCGACCACTGCCCCGTCGAGGGATTCAAGGTCGTGCCCAGGCACGAGAGGGTCTCCTTCTCGAATTCGCTGCCGGGGAATCTCCGTGAGTCGTCGACGCGACGTTCTAAGAAATTTAAAATTTAATCGATCCTCTTCGAAGAATTTCCTTAAATGATTTCTTTAGTTTGCAACATTTCTTTATCATATAAAATATGAAAAATAAATTCCGTTCTCTCTCGGAGTAGTGGCGTCCGACGCGCTAAACGGAAGCACCACCGGCGGGAGGCTGTACGCCGGTCCACTCCGGAAGCAGTCGCTCCGGTCGGAGAAATTCCGGAACTCCTTGGAGCACTCCGACTCCCCGTCTGGGAGCATGGACCATCTCGCGATGGAGAAGGGGAGGGACGCCTACGTCTGTGTCCATCTGTGATGAACGCTCTTCTTTTTGTGATGAACACAGCGCTTGTGATGAACGCGAGGGCCTTCGTGCCGAGGGTTCCCTGCCGATATTTCTCTCTCCCTTTCTCTCTCCCTCTCTCTCCCTCTTTGTTTCATTTACCCGTTAGGATCGTGAGGTAATAAAGCCCTCGTTTGTTTGTGTTTATCTGGAATCCTTTCGACCCTTTTTTTTTTATAAAGCTGACTGCTGACGTCACTTGATTTGAATTATTTACGGCTTTGCAAAAAAATTAATGGATTAAAAAAAAATAATATAATTAATTAATTAATTAATATACAGTAGAACTCGGTTATAACGTCATCGAAGGGACCAGGAAAAAATCGTCGTTATAACCGAGGTTGCCTGTATTGACATTCCCTTTTCCTGTTTTCAAAATAGATGCTATATAACGTTACGACTCTAGTGCACATCGGTAATGTCACACTAGCTTCAGTTTCAGGATTGACCCAATAATCGTAATGTTCGCACTTCTTTGGACCTTGAACTACCTTATACTTTAGCAAGGCCTCGTCGACGTCATCTCGACAGATCTACGACGTTTCTTCTTTTGTGACATGTTCTCGTAAGCACGGATGAAGCTGTCACGATTTTCCCAAATTGTGGAAACGGATGAACAGATGTCCATGTTTTTCGAAGGGGACTTCGAATTTACTTCGAGTACTTTCTAATAAATTAATCATGCACACTTTCCTTTCAATCGTGAAGGCTTGCCTCTTTCGCTTTCCACTGGCCATGTTATCAACGGGAAATGTAATGGCGACTGAAGATAAGATGATCTTGTTAGTTACTGGGATAATCCCTCCCTCACCGTCCTGTCAGACGCTCTCTCAAGGAATGCCGATAAAAGATAACGTAATGGCTCGCCGACGTTCATTTTTCCTATTGTGGGAATTCCAGTTAAGAATGACGGATTAGGGGCATTAACGTTGTCAATTTCTCACTGGGACCTTCAATGGACTTCGTTATAACCGAGGTTCTCGTTATAACCGAGGTCGTTATAACCGAGTTCGACTGTATATTTTTATGTCGAAGTATTATTATAATAGGTGAGAGACTCCTAATTCTTATAGTATTTTCTTGTTTCCAAAATTAATTCAAAATTGCCATTTTAAAATTATATTCCAACAGAACTCAATAGAACATTTTCCCGGTGGAGGGGGCAGAGAGGGGGCATGCCCCCCCCCCTTAAACTTTTTGGAAAAGAATTTGAACTGGATCCGGACGTTATCTTCAGCTGTCTGACCTGTCGGCCTGCAGGATGTCGCCCGTTTGCGAAAAAAAACAAAGAGGTTCGTGCTGAAAATCGATGCGCTTTCGGGCCATGAATATTTCATGGCGATCGGTCGGCGGGAGAACAAAGGCGGGGTGGTCAAGGCAACCGGGGACAACATTCGCGGAGGGGTGTGGCTGGTTTGGGGAGGAAATCGAGCGGAAATGTTTTCGCGAGGGAAAAAAAAAATCGTCGAGGATGGCGGAGAAATCGCAAAAAAAACTCTAAGAGAGTTTTTTTTTTTTAATTCGCCGAGCGACCGAAAACGATGGCTCCCCAATATCACCAGGAGCAATTTTTTTTATGGCCAATTTTTGATATAGACTTCCCCGGGCAACTGTCGCCTTCTCCAGCCAAACGGAAAAATCCTGGGGAAAAATCACCAACATGGAGTTTGGACTACGAAGTCCCCAGATGGACTCAGATGGACCCAGATGGACCCAGATGGACTCGGAAGGACCCAGATGGACCCAGATGGACTCGGAAGGACCCAGATGGACCCAGTCACCTCGCACTCTGAAAGCATCGTTTGAGCCTCCATCTATGGAGCTTGCATTTACGACGCAAAAATTCGTTTCCATAAAGAATAAACAACGCGGGGCTGTTCCCAGCAGGCTTTCGAAATTCGCACCTGCGAAACAAGTTCGCGAGTTTTATCGAAATCGAGTGAGAAATAAACAAAGACGGGGGTCGAAGCGAATCCCGGAGCGATTCGTCGCGCCCCGTCGACGACTTCGCGCCGACTGCGGGGAGGGCGCGGAGGGGCTTCCTCGTGACGTCACTCGGGTGCCGTCCGGGTGCCTCTGTCGTCTGCTCCGGCTTTTTGCGGGCTGGCGGGCGCTTTTCGCGTTGGGGCCTGGTGAGGAAACGGGGGATTACTGAGTGGTTCATACAGACGCATGGATTAAATTCTCACACGCCTGAAGTGAGGCGAAGTGAGATCGTGATCGGTTTCTCTGCATCAACAGGTGAAGTAGCCGATGGTATATCTCGTTGGGAAAAGGAATAAATAGGCTACATTTTCAACTCGTACCTCAATCCTCCCTTTCACACGAGACTCGTCACCAGACACTAGTCCTCTTTCCTAGAAAAACAAAAACATATGGCTTTTCTTTGGGCTTCGCTTCCCCGGTGCTCAAGACGTATCCAGCTGCACGTAAAATCCCTCCACGGCTGACGCACTCACCCTTGCCGCCAAGCAGACACTCCCAACAGATTTCGGACGAGACTGACTAGGCCTACCAGAAACAGCTGTCAAGTAAGGAACTTACGCCGAAGGCTCCCGTTTCTTCTCCGGCTGTGATTCCAATCGACCGAGCGCCCGTTGGCCGTCGGATGAATCTCCGCCGAGGAGACTCTCCAGAGGACGCCGCGTCGGGGACTGCTTCGGTTCTGCGGATGCCTGAGGCTTGCGGCGATGGTCACGGCATCTCTTCGCAGGCGTCATAAGTTGTAGTTCGAGGCGATTGCTGCCAGATGTCTCTCGCAGCGATCAATGAAGAACATGGTGGATTCGTTTGCCGAAGGATGAGCGTGGGAGGGCATAAGCGTAAACGCGGCATTCGTTTCCTCTGACTCATCGATTTTGTAGCCATTCACATCGCGAGGGTTTATCTGTCACAGGATGCAGCGTGGTTGGCGTGAATTACGTTTTAAAGCTTCACGTGGGATTCTGTTATCTTATAATGCGTATGGGATGAAAGCATCGTCCTGAGGCTGATTTCAGGAGCAATTAAGCCTGTGCCTCATACAAGTCGGGACGTGAATTATTGTGAGCCTAACCGAAGTTTTTTAACAGGTTGAATTAAGCGGGATTGGCAGTCTACGGTCGTGGGCTGCCGTGCCTGTAGAAGAGGAAGGGGAATAGGATGGGGAATATTTACACGGTGGGACCCAATGAAGCCCTCGTGGTCTCGGGTAAGTTCTGGCTTCCTAAGCGAGGCTTTTTTTTCCTGAATCTGTGTGGTAAACAAGTGTACAATAATTGGACGAAACGCGCATCTGTGCAATGTGTTGGCACTAAGCACAAGATTCTCTGGGTTAATAGAGTACTCTTAAGAGGCAGTACCTTAGGTATTGTTGACAGACTTGTACTGATTGCTGTTGATGAGACTGATGTGACAACCTTGTTAATATTGGATGGTTTGGTATGTTTTTGATCAAATATCTTCATTGGCTTAATGAATGGAGTCATCTGGAGGATGAGAATTTCTCAACTTATGTCTACTTCACAGAATAGTTTCAGCCCAAAATTTCCTCTCAAATTCTTCCTTTTCAAACTGAATTCCTTCATTATTCAACCATTGCAGCTGGACAGGTCCTGACCCTTTTTGTGTTCATTTGCTCGTGTTTCTTATGGATTGAAGGATGTTCTCTAATTGAGCCCAACTAAAAAAACCAAACTTCTCTTAAGGTGGGTGCTGTGGATCAAGCACCAAAAGAACCATTGTGGGAGGATGGGCATGGGCATGGTGGCTTGTTACAGATGTGCAGACTCTTCCATTAGAGGTGAGTTGTCTGTGATAGATCCTTCAACAAAAAAAAGTACAAAGTATGGTCAAGTATGGCAAAGTACCATACAGCCATATATATATATATATATGGCTGTATGGTACTTTGCATAGGCTACCTTTCTTAACTAAATGTTAATCTATCATCTATCATAAATTCAGTACAGCCTATTGTTTCAGAATCTGTTTGACTTCATGCATAAAATTTTAAAAGTACAGTTTACAAACACACAGGTTTCTACTGGTACTATATGCAAGTCAACCTGGTGGCTGCAAGATGAAGTAAAGGTGTCTCTCCAAAGTGGATGCTAAGAGAAAATTTTTTTTTCAGGTGATGACAATCACACCCAAGTGTGAGCACGTGGAAACAGCTCAGGGAGTCCCGCTAACAGTGACTGGGGTTGCCCAGTGCAAGATCATGACAGCACCTGAACTGTTGCAGACTGCATCAGAGCAGTTCTTGGGGCGGCAAGTCAATGAGATCAAGGAGACCATCCTGCAGACCCTGGAGGGGCATCTTAGGGCTATTTTGGGTAAGTGTTCACTTCAAGAAGTATCTGGTCAAAGTGCCTGTTTGCTCTTTGATTTATGCTTTTGAACAATAGGGGCATGAGATGAAATGTCATTTTTTCACCAGTTCTCTCACTCATGTCAACCATTTGTGACTTATGTTTGATTTTTAAGGAAGAGTGTGATCAGTTTCATGTTAAGTTTAATCAAATGCATATTTTCCCTTTATATTTCATATTGTGGGCTTTGTGTTGTATATGCATTGGAGGGGACATCATTTCAGGGATTCCAGCCCAAGAAGTATATTAAAAAGATTATTAACTCTGTTAAACATCACTATGTCTATGGAGATGAGTATGTGAATCCAAAGTTCCCAATTTACTGTCTAGGCCTTATATTGTTTTCCGCATTTTTCAGGTTCAACTCAATCTGGTTCATTTAAGAGGAAGGGCAGCTGAAGGCAATCATGAATCAGCCCTCAAGTGTTGATTATTCCATTTTCCAGGTACACTGTCTGTTGAGGAGGTATACAGGGATCGTGATCAGTTTGCCCAACTGGTCCGAGAAGTGGCAGCACCCGATGTAGGTCGGATGGGGATCGAGATCCTCTCGTTCACCATCAAGGACATCTATGATGATGTCATGTACCTAGGCTCCCTTGGGAAAACTCAGACAGCAGCTGTGAAAAGGGATGCTGATATTGGAGTAGCACAGGCCAATCGGGATGCTGGAATCAGGGTGTGTCTATAAATCATATCCTATGATCTTAGTATGTTGTATCTGTAGTTAACCCATTCAGGTACCAATTGGTCTGTCTGTCAGCCTGATGTCTGAATGTACTGAAAAAATAATGTCTGAAAGGGTTAAACAAAGTAGCAATGCCTCCTAGGTTTCTCAGACCTTTTTATTCATCTGGACTATACCCTTATAATAAGGCTGACCTGGGAATCTGTTCCAGGAAGCTGAAAGTGAGAAAGCAGCCATGGATGTCAAGTATACAACTGATGCCAAGATTGAGAATAATGCTCGGATGTACAAACTGCAGAAGGCACAATTTGAAGCTGAAATTGGGACTGCTGTAAGCATTCTTCCATTTGAAAATATGAAAGTTTTTTCTTTTCTTGTAACTACTTTCCTAGAAGGAAGTGTTTGAATGTTGAAGTGCTTGTTTGGGATTGATTCTGAAGAAAGCTGAGTCCCAGCTGGCATACGAGCTGCAGGCAGCTAAGATCAAGCAGAAGATCCGTAGTGAGGAGATCCAGATCGATGTGGTGGAGCGGCGCAAGATGATAGAAGTGGAAGAGCAAGAAATCAAGAGGAAAGACAAGGAGCTGATGGGAACTGTGAAACTTCCTGCTGAAGCTGAAGCATACAGACTGGAGCAGATTGCTATTGGCAAAAGGTAAGCTTTCAGTAAGGAGAAAAGCAGCTAAGAGGCAACAGAGGTTGCAGTGCTTCAAGTGTATTAGAAAAAAAAGTAAAAAGCAATTAACAGAGAAACAAAGTAAAATTGTTTGCCTTACAAAATGTATAAGTATGCCTCAATGTATTCTTCTTCATTGAGCCAAAGTAATAAGTGCTGCTCTGATGTACATTGAATTACTGAAACGTTCCCTTTTCATGGTATTTGCAGAACACAGACAGTAGCTATGGCAATAGCAGAGAGTGAGCGAACAAAGCTGCTGGGATCTGCTGAAGCGGGTGCAATTGAAGCTGTTGGTAAGGCAGAGGCAGAGCGTATGCGTATGAAGGCAGCTGCCTACAAACAATATGGGGATGCTGCTGTCATGTCTCTTGTCTTGGATGCCTTGCCAAAGGTCCATTTTCTCTTCCCATCAATAACGCAACCCTTCCAATTTTTTATTCTACATTTTGTCAACCATGTTCTCCTTTCCCGTGCAGATAGCAGCTGAAGTTGCAGCTCCTCTGGCCAAAACAGAAGAGATAGTGCTCCTAGGAGGAGAGCCTGGTGTAGCCAATGAAATCTCAAGACTCCTAGGAACTGTGCCTCCTGCTGTGCAGGCTCTGACTGGTGTTGATGTTTCCAAGGTGAAATCAGCTCATTCAAATGCTCTTGATGCTCAAACTTTCCATTTCTTTCCTAAGTTCCATGCTCACAATATGCCTTTAACAAGAACAATGGAAAGACAAGGAAACACTAAAAAAATGTTTGTTTATTGCTTTTGCAGGTATTACATAAGATTCCTGGAGCCAGGAGTTGAAAGATGTTCCCTGTGAATCCTGCCTCTCTGTAACTGCCAATTTTCTCATCCTGTGCACATTACATGACTGCCTTTTCTCGTTTATCACAATGTATCTCTTATCATTTTTGTTCATTCGCTGTACCTGTTCAACGCAAGTGTGCTAGTCCATCACCCTCTGAAGTGTATTAATTTTGTACTTCCAGATTTTTTAAAGATAAGGTATGTTCATTTTTAATGGTTGTATCTCAACAGACCAGTTAGGCCAGTATGTTTGCTCCCATGATTGTGTGAGATTTTTAAAATTAAATCTCATCATGCTGATGCTCACAGACATCAAGTCAACTATAGCCATTTACACTTGTGCACCCACCAATGCCACAAAAAAAGTCATGTACTTACATGCAATCCTTGAACTACAAAAGATCTTAATTAGTCATGATTCTGGTCATGTACATAAAGGATTCATTATGATTTGCTCAACACAGGTGTTGATGAGAACTTCACTGTGGCCATCCCTTGTAACAAAGTGGGAACAAATTTGTTGACATGTCATAAATGGGATTTTTTTTTCCATTTGCTTGTTGCTTAGTTCATGTGCCACTACCTAAGACTAGGCTTAACCTGTCATGTGCATATGTAGGAACAATTGTGTGTTTGTGTGTGTGGATTCAAGTCTTGTGTGCCATGATTTAAGAAGATATTAAAAGCCATTCTGATATTCCACCAGCCAAATTGGTTCTTTTGATTTTGGACCAGCAGAATCACCTTGTAGTTGGGGCATGGTGAAACCAGTGGTATTCAGTCTAAATTGATTACTAATTCTAATGAGGACCATGTGAAATAGCATTGAATCATTTGGCAGAAAAATAACCATTCATATGGGGTAAACAATGCCAATGCTCATGTCTATAGTTTTCAAAAGACTTATTTTCCAGCTATTTTTTGCATATAAATTCATTTTCATGAATTCATAGTGGAATGAAGTAACTCATTTCCATAAAAATGGGAAATAAATTCAGGATATTAAAAATTCAAGTTGAAGTTCAGCTTTTCTTAGAGAAATACCTATATAGTAAAGAAACAAGAGTAAACACATAGTACTTTTAGCTTTTTTTTTTCACTTGATTCAAACACTCCTATAAGAGGAAAATCCCATACATGAGTCACTGAGTCAAGTGAAAAATAAAACGCTAAAATACGGAATGCTTCAAATAAGAAATTCAACTTGGCGAAAATATTAAAGATGGACAGCAGCAGGGAACTAAAAACATGTTCAACTTCATAGGAAACTGTGCAGTTCCAATAAACAAAATCATTATTACAATTACATTATTACAACAAAATCATATTAAAAAAAAAAGGAGTTTCCACTCCTTACTAGAATCCTACCAAAGCAGAGGAAGGTTCTTCCTCTGTGGAAATATTTCTTTCATTCAGATCATGAAAAAAAAAATATGCGAGAAGTTTGGGGCACAAATTATCTGCATAGAAAAATCCCTACACGCTCTCTGGATTCTTGGGTAGGATGTTGCCTTCTGTCTGACGGTCTTTCTCGATGCCATTGAGGCGCGGTGATTTAGCTCGGTGACGGAACAATACATTCACACTTCATGTCGTCATGAAAAATATGTTTCAACCTTTCTGAGATTCCAACTAGAAGCAAATATAACCTATCTTAGAGCTATTTCGGACTCATCTACAGATTCAGAAGTACTAGCATGAATGCTACAAGCATCTACCAATAGATCTAGTCAAGTGCGGAAATTAGGCTAAGAAAAATTTTCGCGTCAAGATCAAATTTATTGAAAATTCTTAGAACTCCAGCATGCCACGTGTAGCGTGCATGTGGAAGTGTCCAACTGATGGCGGACATCTTAAGAGCCATCAGTGACGCCGGATTTCAGTAGCACACCTTTTGGTGCCTGTCCATTTACCTATAGTAATTCCCCCGCGTAGCGATTTTGTTCAACCTCAGACTTCTTTTAAAAATAATTTTGATTGTGAAAATAGGTTTTTTGTTCAGGAAATCGATGAAACTTTGCTGACGGTGGCTTCTGCCATGCTCCTACGGTGGGAAGAAGAGGTCCTGACATCTTTCAGGTCACTCTGGAACTAACAATGAAACATGGCAGGAAGGTACGGGGATGGATCTGAATACAGGTAGCGCTTTATTTCGCATATTTCTTCTCCTTTTACATCTCTCGATTTTCCTGAATGCTTGCATTCGTAAATTAGTTACAGGTGCTCAGCCTCTATTGGTTAAGGGTGTCTAGTAGTTCTTGTGATAGACGAATCACTCATTTTCTTGAAGCAGTTCAGTGACAATTGCCGATGCCGCCCTTTTTACCGGCTTCTGTAAGTTAGGAATGTGACTTTATTGTCTGGTAATGTATGAGTTTCCCCATTTCTGTTTCGTTTGATTCAGTTAGTGATAGCCATTGATATCATTGCGTGTATCTGCGATGTAACACAGACCTAACGGTTGCGTCCCAAGAGCTTGGCGTTGATTGGCCTAACGGGAAGATGCTAAGATGGTTCGCTCGATGCGAAGAACTTGGTGGGGACCGGTAGCGTTTTTATTGGAAAGTCTGGTACCATTTTAGGCCAAGGAAATTTTGACTTTCGTCCTTGGGCCATAATCTTGCCATTCATGATTAAACATTTTTGCAAATAGGAATCTTGCATGGTTTTACTCTTTTACCTTGTGTCAAATTAGCTTGATTGCTTTATTTTGTAATCTGTCGCCTTTTTCATTTACAGAGATTTTCAAGGTGGTGGAGGAGGAGGAGGAGGAGGACGGTATTATGGCTACGAAGGCCAACGTCAGCACAAGCCGATCCCAAAGGAGCCACCATATACTGCATTCATAGGAAATCTTCCCAATGGTGTTGTCCAAGGCGACATTGAAGCCATTTTCAAGACACTTAAAGTGAGGGGATTAGGTGTCAGATTCTCAGTCGTGTATTTTATACTTCTCATGTTGACTTGAGACCTCCCAATAGGGCCTGCTTCTTGAATGGCATGGTTTCATTTTGGCCCAAGACTATCAATACATAAATTTTTTCTCACAGGTTCGTCACGTGCGACTCGTGCACGACAAGGAGACCGATCGGTTCAAGGGGTTTTGTTACGTGGAGTTTGATGACCCAGAGAGTTTGAAACAGGCTCTGGAGTATAATGGAGCCCTGTTGGAAGACAAGCAGATCAAGGTGGACGTTGCTGAGGCCCGTCAGAGGGACAAGACCGGAGGATTCTCCCGTGGTGGACCAGGCTCTGGTCCCATGGGCATGGGTAATCGAGGAATCTTTATGCATGCTTTGGCTATCGGCGGAGTTGTAATGTCTCGGGTCTTCATTGCAGCCTCACAGAATGCTTGAATCTCTTTGGAATTAATGTATCAAAGCCATTTTGTAAATACATTGTCTCCTATATTTGAGCACTTCTAAAACAGTATTACTGGTTGCCACAATAATGTCCAGGTAACTGCAGCTAGGCTGAGACACAGGACTTTCATTTACTAAGCAAGGACAAGGCCATTTTCAGCATATAAATCACATGCTCACACCTCACAGCACCCTGCTGCTCACACTAGCAGAACTCATGCCATTGTGAATGTACATGATGATGCTTTGCTATAATTTATGCAGGCAGCTTCACTTAAGACTGTGTAATTTGACTAAAATTTCTTGGGTTTAGATATGAAGGATTGTGTGGGTACAGTTGAAATTCTCTAATAATGCTGCCATATATGGCAATTTTTTTTCTTCATGTCTTTTTTTTTCATATGAAACTTCATATCTGCCAGAGGGCAAAAAACTTAGTCATTTAAAGTCATTATTGCATTAGACATACTTTGAAACTTGAGTCCTGTGCTTGAATTTTTCACTGCTGAAGATGTAGTACCAATTTATATTATCTTTATTCCTGTTTATGGTGATTCATGTGGTGGCATGAGAACTGCAAGACACTATATCTCCCATGGATACATTTTGAAGACCATGATGTAGAAAACATGGAGTTTGCTAAGGATTGTATGGGGTAGATGAGTCCATTTATTGCACTGAAATACTATGTCTGGTTCAATGTAAGTGAAAATGTATTGAAAGGGATGGAGACTGTTCTTTGGAAAAAATCTAAACAATCTTGAATGTTGTATGAAGTTTATGATACTTGTGCCAGTACAATAGAAATAATAGTGCTTGGCACACCACAGCTCTTGTTAAAACTAAGTAAGAGGCATCTATTTAGAGGTTATCCTCATGATTTCCTGGGGGTATGCTTTCTTGCTTGATTGTGTTCCAATTTGAGGTTATTATTTTAGCCATTGCTATTGCTTGCTATCATGTGAAGAGTTCATGTTCTGTATCTTGAAAGTGGTGACCTTGATATGATTAATGATAATCACAAAGCTTTGTGATGGGTCTGATTTAGGCTTTGGTCGAGGAGGAGGACGTGGTGGTGGTGGTGGAGGAGGTGGGGGGAGATATGGGGACGACTTTGGAGGGAGAGGAGGAGGTGGACGTGGAGGTGGCAGTGGCGGTGGTGGTGGTGGGTATGGAGGGCAGAGTCCCCGTGGTTCGACATTCTTCCCTCAGGACCGAGACAGAAGGGGGGGGGGAGGGGGAGGGGGAGTTGGAGGAGGAGGGGGGGGAGGAGGAGGAGGAGGAGGAAGTGGTGGTGGAGGATTTATGGACCGAGGTGGACCTCGGAGTGGTGGGCCATCAAATATCATGCGTCAGAGGAGGGACTCTGACCGACACAGTGAAGACTTACGAGAACCCACTGCAGGTCAGCCATTTTGTCTGGAATATAACTGATGCTATAATGATTGCCATGAAAGCATATCTTTTGTCTGGTCAGCAGGAACATTTGGGAAATCCTCTTATCAAGTAACATGGTTGTAGGTTTTTTTAAAATAACATTCTGAAATTCATGTTAAGCTTAGGGCTATTATTTAAGGAAAGGAGTCAAACATGAGCCACCCATGGAACGGTTATGGGAAAGTGATTCATAGTACCTGTTGGCACTACACTATTATTGTCTTAGTCAATTATGAAACAAATTACTTCATGTCATGACTAGTTCAAGTCTTCCCAATTGTGGAGCCTAAAGTCAATGTGGTTTTGGCATGGATGCTGTTAATCAACTTCTCCACGCGGTGATGTGAGTGGTAGCAGAACACAGGAATGCAATGAAGAATGCCCATCTTTTGCATTTTAGGTTCTCACATGTGAACATGTAACAATAGAAAAAATGGGAGGTTTCAAGCATATACAAGGTGACTGAAAAGTCACTCCTTACTTTAAAATTTTATATTCCTCATGTAACTTTTGGATTAGAACAATGTTCTATAGTATGAAATGTGGAGGTTCTCTTGTCAAAGTCCAGATATGGTGGCAGGAAAATGCCTTTGGTGCAACTTCTCATCTCATACAGGTGAGAAGTTGCCATACCTCATAGTGTGCAGCTTTTTGCACGCTGTCGAAGATTCTATTTAGCACCATGGAGGGTTACTGCAAGCAAGCAAATCATTGAAGTAATAAAGTCTGATCAAATTCCCTTTCTTTTGGTGCAAAAAAGCATTGTTCTAGTCCAAAAATGACAAAAGTTATTACAATTTTAAAATAGGGAGTGGCTTTCCAATCACCCTGTTTTTTGAACTTCCATTTCCCCATGTGTAGAAATGAAAAATGTGAAGAATGGGTGATGTCCTTGATTCTTCAATGCTTTCTTGTGTGGAATTCTGCTATTCTGGCAGAGAAAGGTGAAAAATTAGGAATATATGAATTATGACTGGGATTATTAGTGTTCTGGTATAAATTTTGATACTCCCAATTGATCATGAATTTTGAAATGCTTCATTTGGGATATTCAAATGGTGAATCAAGCAAATTAATTTTAACCTTTTGGCATCCACATCCAAGTCATCTTCTATTGGCAAAATGCCAAGAGATGGAAAAACCTTGGATCCAGTGCCAACATGTTCAAAATACTTGGGTCACCAGCAGGTTAATCAGCCAAAAAAAATTAAGAAAGAAGCAGGAATTTGATCTTGAGAATGTTGTGTATACCTTCTCTATCTCATTGTTAACTGGTCTTTGACAGTTAAGCTGCAGCTTCAGTTTAAGATAAATTACAAATACTGCCATTGAAAGAAAACATATTTGCCCCATCTGAATCATTAGAATTCATGAAGTAGGAAACATTGGAATGTGTATTCATATAGTAATCTCAACCTTCTGTTTTTATTAAACTTTAAGTCTATTTAGTAAAATTTTGCAACAGCCCAAGGCATAAGCACTTCTCCATCTATTGATGGCTGCTTCAGTCACTTCAATTTTTTTTTAAACTTTGAATTGAAAAAGTTTTTTTTACTCTTACAGAGGAGGCAGCAGCACGACCAAAGCTGAAGTTGCTTCCTCGGACAGTGGCAGCTCCCGTGAACCAGTTAGCAGACACGACTCAGCGAAACACCATCTTTGGTGGTGCGAGACCACGAGATGAGCGCGTCTACGAGAAGGAGCGGAAGGATTCAGGCTCGGAACAAGAGCAGGAGAGAAATCACACATGAGGTATGTGCACGAGCAGCCATCAACTGTCTTGGTTTTGTGCAGCATTTGAAGCCACTTGTCTCCTTTTTCCAGATGCTCCAGTGCAGTGACAGGTGATGTTGGACTCTCTTTATGTGTACAAAACTCCCAAAGGTCATGATTGAAGATGATGTTAATGAAGTGAAAGCTCCATCGAAAAAAAAGGAAAAAGCGCTCTGATTCACTATTTTAAGGAGACAGAAACAACAAAAAGTACAGCAACAGAGCCTTTTTTTCATCTTCTCTGTTATTTAGTTTTGGTTGTTTCCTGCTTTCTTTTGTAAGGATCGATTTAATTGCATTTCCCCGGCTTTTGCACGAGTGTGGAAAGTTAATGAATAAATCATGGGATGCAGCCAACAAAAGTTGTTTTTGGTGGATTGGTGTTTTCAATTGCAGAGGAAATGCAACTCATGATCTCTCCCTTTTTGGCCATCCATTGGCTTGCATTGATTCCATCGCTATACTTCTTGCATGTGATAAGACCATGTTCTCCCTCCCCCTCCCTCCTCATCACACATCTCCTGTCAATCTCTGTCTGTCTCGCTGTGAGATGACTTGTGTTTGATTTCGGCATCAAGTGAATAAATGGATTCGATAGTGTCTGTTTTGTACAAGTCTCCCTGTCATCCAACGTGCAGAGGGGCATCGTGTGTTGCCTGCTTCAGAGAAACCTGAAGCACTGCTCCTGTTAATGCAGTTCATATTCAGTTCTTGGCAGCATAGGTTGCTGCATTAAATGAGTATATCGATCATGCAAGTGAGGCTTGAACTAGATACACAAGAGGGCTGATTTGTGAATGCATTTATGCATTCCCAGGGATGGGTAGGAAGGTCTTCTGTAAGTGAAGCGGGGTCTGAGTCAGGTCAGCGATGAAATGTCGGGAGGACCCGAGAACCCGTTCAAGGCACTGTTTGGTTCAGAAGCGGGTCTCCAGGAGTTCCTCGTCAATAGAAGACGGGAGGAAACAGACCATCCAGACACGGATGAGAGTCGTCTCATCAAGGAGACGTTCCGATTTGCAGCCAAGGTGAGGGATGGTGACCCTGAAGGTCTCCTCCTCTTGGAGGATTTTGAAACCATGGCCCCTGATGGTGTCCTCAGCCTCACAGTTGCTGAACAGGTGATCTTTGTGGTTCACGTTTTTGCAAAGGAAGTGAATGTGGACATGGGTTATCCATTATGGATTTCCTGTTCTAGATGCTGACAGAGAAGTTGCTTCTTGATGACCCCCAAAACAATGGCTCTTCGAGAGCACAAAATGAGGATCGTCCAGTGATCTACCTCTTTGAGTCGTTCTGCCGTTGCCTTGCATTCTCGCAATGCCCTGGTCAGAAGGATGAGGTTTGTCAGGTGATAGCAAGGCACCTCCTCACCTGCTTCAGGCAGCCAGACCTCTTCCCTCGTGCCACTGACCTGCCTGATCAGCTATATCATCATGTGTTGACCCATGCCAATTCAGGAGCAGTCCTTAAGTTCATCCAATTTGTTGTCGGAGAGACTGCAGATGCCGAAGAAGTCGACATGGTGTTTCGATCTGGTTTAGACCGTTTGAAGGAGGAGGCAAGAAACTGCAGTATCTCAGGGATCTCCACTCAGGTCCTGCATGTGTTGGATATCTACACAACAAATGAGAGCCTTGGGGAAGCACTGATGAGACACAATGAGGTACGAGAAGAAGATCGGGACAACGGGGCAGCGTACGTTGACACTGTGTTTGGTCAGCTGCTCTCCCTGTCCCCACTGCCTAGAAACGAAATAGGGAAGTATGAATTCTTCACCAATCCCTCGCGGGAGTCTATCCAAGCTCACAGGGACACTGAATCCTCCCTCCATTCAGCACTCAACCATCTGCACAAACAGGTTTTGCCTTGTTTTACATCTACCTCTCATATGTTTTTATTATTGTGTGCAGATTGTTACATATGAAATTTATTGATAACCCCATTACACAGACTAACTGAAGTATGCTTATTAACTTAAAGAATTACATTGCATTTATTTTATTTTATTGCTCAGTGGCATGGTGCTCTGGTTCTCAAGCAGTTGGTTGTATAAGCTGTGAACCCCTCAAAAAAATACCTAAAAATAATTAAAATGAAAAGGATTCTAAAACAGTTGGATTTGTGAGCATCCTCTACTTGCAGACTGGTGCTGCTATCAGCTTAGAAAGCATGAAGTCCCATCAAATACTGTTTGTGAGCACTCCAAAGCATATCTGTAAAGTCTGCTGTTATTTTATTGCAGGTACATGAAGTGTTCCTGCGCCTGTTGAAGCTGTCGAGTACGACGCGAAGTCGTCTCCTGGTCTGGCTGGCTGACTGCCTTCATGCGAACCGCAGCCGGTCCAAATTGGCATATTCCATGCGTCTGGGCCTCCGTGTCGCCTCTGATGGCTTTGTGCTGAATCTTGGTGCCGTGCTCCTCCTCCTTTGTGAACCGTTTGCAGGGAATCCTCCTAATCCCAAGATGCAGAAAGTGAGCCCATATTATTGGAAGGCCTGTGGGACAGCACAAGGGCTTGCAACCAGGGGAGTGCATTACAGATACGAGAGTACCGACACGACGCTCGTCCCCCCAATTGACGAGCATCAGACTGATCTCCAGCGTCTCTTTGAGGGACTCAGCTTCAATTTTCCAACTGAATGCTTCTTTCTCACTCACAGGTATCATTTGCATCTGGTAGAAAATTCTTATTATTCCATTCTCCTGCAGTGTTGAAGGAAAATCACTCACATGTATCCTACTTGCACTCATCACTTGGAGATGGGTTGCATTGAGTTAGCCATAGGTATAGGTTCACTAATGTGTACTCTTGGGAATTATATGATGTAAAGGTCTTTTCCTGGCTGTTCATACTTCTTTATTCTGTCCATACTTCATTAGTTGAGAGTTTTGAAGCCTGAAATTCTACATCTTATGATAATGGTTTGTATGAAGCCAAGATAAATCAGCCCACCCTTGTATTTTCATAGGCAGTGCTTATAGTAGTGAAGGTTATAGTAAGAGCTTGTCAGTGCAACTTCCTTGGGTTTCATGAGGAATGCCTCCATATGCATTTCAAAACAAGAAATTATTTTTGACTAGATAATTATGCATGTTGTATTAAGTGATGTGTAATTTTGGGTGGTTACGATTATTCTATGATTATTCTCTGCACCCAGGGCCCTGGATATAGGATTTCGTGCAGTTGGAGGACGGTATCTAGAAGTGAATCAGAGCCTGGGTCGCCTCCAGCGTCTTCATGCGGACACAGTGGCACAGGCAGGAGCCTCATCTTCTGCAGCTCAGTCCATCCAGGAGAACCTGGAAGGAGGGATGACCCGGTACCTCTCCATGAAGGCTGTCCTATTTGAGCCCAGGAGTCTGTCTTGTCTAGTGGAGTTCTGTGCCTCGACAGGGACCTGGTTGGCTCAGCTAGGGACTGAGTCCCCAGCAGCCTTTGCCAGTGACCAGAGGGAGATTCATACTATCTCATTCCCTCTCCCATCTGAACCTTCACCCTCATTGCAGGTCAGTTCATGCAGCCAGATTGACCAATTCCAACAGGAACTGCAAAAACTTCTCCCATAGTCCAGATTCTCTTGTCAATGAATGCCTCATTCTAATTTAGCCAATTCTCTCCTCCCATAATTTTTTCCTACCTCAGTCCAGTAGTTTCTCTTTTAAAAAGGAGAGTGTCCGTTCATTAATTCTATTTTCCAATAATATAGAGAAAATAGCAGTCATTCTGAGTGCCCTGTGCTCCAGAGATTCCTTCATTAGAGATGTGAAGAAAAGAAACCTGGTTTTAATTATGGTGAAACTCATCTTACTACTGAAAGGATGAAAGTATGAGCACCCATCGCACAATCTTTCTCGGCTCTGTGCTCTGAATACACCCGATAAGCTGAGTCCACTCGTGTTTTCCAATATGCTAAAACATCCTGCAACATGATGAAATTGGGGAAGGGAAACCCATCACTGGGACAGCTTGATTTTTTTAATTTCCTAGAAGTTTGGGTTCATGTCTCTTTCATCCTGCTTTCTAGGCAGTGCCAGAGTTCTTGGCTGAAAATGTGATCGAGACCCTGATTCTCCTGAGACGCTTCAGTGCTGGCACCCTGGATGAGCACCTGCCCCTTTTGCCACACTTCATGACCTTCATCCTTGTGTTCATCGGATCGGCCGTCCGCATGAAGAACCCACACCTGCGGGCCAAGATGGCCGAGTGCCTCGAGTCCTTGCTCCCGTCATCAGAGGGAAAGAGCCTCATGTCAAGGGAGTTCCTTTGGACTAAGCACAAACATGTCACAGCCATAGCGCCAAACCTACTGCGAGTGTTTGTGAGCATAGAGGTGGCTGAGACGGGTGCTACAGGAACAGGGCAGGGGGAGGCTGTTGCCTTTGAGCAGAAATTCAACTATCGGCGCCCCATGTACATCATCATGGACTGGCTCTGGCAGCACCAGGTGAGGATCAGTTGGTGCTGGGGTCCAACCATTCTAATTGGTCTTGATATTGTGTGCCCTATTCAGGGTGGCATCTGATTTACTAGAAACGGTACTTACAAATAAGTTTGATGTACCAGTCAGTTCCTCGTGGTAATGATTAGAAATTTTCAGTTATGAGGTTGCCAAATACACCTTAAATTTCTAAATTGGTCAAAAAGAGACAAGGTCATCAAGTTGGCAAGCATGTTTGTAGCTCAATGTCACTATTCCTTTGTCTACATGAGCTAAATATGTTGAGTTGTTCTCTATGATAAGTCTAATTGTGAGAGGGTTTTTTTTTCTTGTGTCTTGATGTAGTTACTTTGCAGTATAAGTGATATGATCTTGGAAACTTGAAACCAAATTCATAATGGTTTACTGATTTTCATTTGCCTGAATGTAGGTACACAAAAAAGTGTTTGAGGAATTGGCAGAGGAAGCACTGAAGAACATGGAGGGAGTGAATCCCCCTCTATTCTTGCGCTTTCTGAACCTACTCATGAATGATGCCATCTTCCTCCTGGATGATGCCCTTGGGTACATGAGCAGATTGAAGACGCTCCAGGCAGAGAGGGACTCGGGTGCTTGGACCTCCCTCCCTGCACGCCAGCGGCAGGAACAGGAGAACAACTTCTTTCATCTTGGAATGCTTGCCAGGTAGGCTGTAGGCTTCTTATGCATATCACCATTGTTGCTGTGAATGTGTCGTAAAATGTTCTCTTTTTATTTATCTCTTTCTGTCAAGATCAGTCTGAGAATATGAGTTTTGCTTATTTCTTGAGCCTTGACACACACTAATAGTGAAAGGGAAGCAGTGCTTATGAGAGTTTACCTTACAGAAATGGGCAATGGGGAAGTTTATCTTCATAGATTATATTGAAATTGTGGTAGGATATAATGGACCTGTATGAATACCTGTATGAAAGAAATTAAGATTTGAAAGGAGACTTAGACTACCTATCCAGGTACTGTGCATATCAAAACAAACTTTTTATAAAATTGGATTTGAATTTTTTCAGTGGTTAGAGGAACCAGAAAAATGAATGATAGTGTATGATTTGGTGATATGATTTGAGGGACTGATTTCAAAGTATTATTTTGTTGCATGGATCAAATTTTACATGGAGGGTGAAATAAAGATTTTTTTTTCACTTCTAAGGTTCCACAATGTGTTGGGAAAGGAGACCATCCACACGATGGAGCTGCTGGCTCAAAGTCCCACCGTCCGACGGATGCTCGTGCACGAGATGCTGCGGGAGCGCATCGCCAGCATGCTCAACCACTTCCTGCTCCACCTGGTTGGCCCCAAGAAGAAGGAGTTCAAGGTGAAGGACCTGGAGGAGTACCAGTTCCAGCCCAAGACCATTGTCGTCGACATCTGTCGCATCTACATCCACCTGAGCCACAGCCCCGAGTTGTGTGCTGCCGTGTCGCAAGATCGGCGCTCCTACTCTTGTCAGCTCTTCCCTCAGGCCATCGATGTCCTCGGTTGGTCATGAATTCGTGCTCACATTTGCGTTATGGATTTCTGATTGAAGTAGATGTATATTTTGCAGAGTTGAAAGGAAGATTTGTCATCCAAAAAGTGAATTTTAGATTTTAGTGAATATCAGTGAATATGCTGTAGATGATTCATTTGTCACTACAGAACGCATCGGCCGACACGATCTGGTCGAACCTCTGCTTCGTGTGAAGCAGAACGTGGAGTCATCTGTATATGGCAGACAGGAGGAGGAAGAGCTGGCAAGTGAGGCCCCTGAAGAATTTCTGGATCCCATCATGTCTACCCTCATGCGAGATCCTGTCATTCTTCCTACGTCAGGTGTCACTGTCGACCGACACACCATTGCCAGGTGCGTTGAAAAAGAATCATTAGAAAATTCTTGTAGCAGTTGTTTTTATGATTAGAGCAGTTTCTTGAGAAATCACTAGGAGTTACTCAGTTTGTCACGTAGCTCGCCTAAGCCCCCCTATTTGAACTTATACTCTTACAAAGGTGCTTTTCTGCCATCCAGAAATGTGCAACTCAAAATTTTTTTGGGGACGTTGTCATAGGCATTTGTTGAGCGACCAAAAGGACCCATTCAATCGGATGCCACTGACGATGGACAAGGTGGAGCCGAACGAGGCCCTGCGCGAGGCCATCCGAACGTGGCTGGAGGCACGCACGCACCGCAAACCCGATACCGAGTCGTCTTCGATGTGATAGTCAGCTTGTGATAATCAGAGCATCAGATTATTTCTACTTCGACAGTGAGGCTTCTTGGTCTTCTCTGCCTTCGATTTGCCCAGTGTCTTTGATATTCTCCGGTCGAATAAATGCCGATTTATGGGCTGAGGGGTACCCGGCATCGTCTCTTGCAACGCCACTGCAACTGCGGAGCATGCGGGGGAAAAAGTTGCGTCGTGGTCGTGGCTTGCCATATCGCACGAGCGGAATGATGGATAGGGAGAGCCACATCTACAAATGAAGAAAGGATATCCCGGAGATAGGAAGTGAGGGAAGAGTTCCCGAGAGTCGTCCATTACTTTAATTCTAGTGTGAATGGGAAGCTCTGGCAGAGCAGGTCTTTCCGCAGACGAACATGCTGCGACCTTCACTGTAGCGGTCCCTCGTACGGGCATTCCAAATCAACACTTAATACATGATATCGAATACGGCCATACGTGGGCGTTTTATTCGAAACGTGACATACATATTTCCTTATTATGTTTTGGCCATATAAAGTGTCGACTCCTTCCGGCCAAGTTTGGCGCTTATGTAGTCAAATACGTCCAAGTGCAACCCATACATACGACTGTACTTAGTAGTTCCGTAAGGGCCGTGGTGTGCCGCAGACGTCAATCGTGCAGTCCATTAATGACGTCGCACTCCAACCAGGAGTAAGCTTGAATAGGTCTTAAATAAATTCTGTTTTAGGATTCTTGGGGTTTTCGTGTCGGGTTGGTTCTCTAGCTTGGCGAGATCGGCTGGTTCAAATCCTCGTTTCGCAGCTTCTCTTTTTCACCCAAAGACCAAAGTGTGAAGGGAAAATGGACCGGAATTGTAATTACAGGGTGATATCAAAGAAACATCTGCACTTTATTGATTGATATCTCAGAAACGGTATGACAGGAAGTTTAAATGTCACAGGAGAGCTACGGGGACCATGCGCTCGAAAGACGCCAGATAGTTGTCACACGTTGTAGTCGGGGGTGCCACCGTGACTTAATGTCTTACTAATCGCAGCCACTGTCGAATATGTGCTCCCTCAGCTCCCAGAATGCATAACGAATAAGTTTCTTCAGCGGGACTGCAATGTTCACGTACCATTCGACTCTGCACCTGCGAGTCTTCCGAAACGGGTTCGAGCGGTACGCAGCACACGCACACAAAATCCGCATCACCGCATTTTTCGAAACCAACAGGTTATGCGTTCTGGACGCTGAGGGAGCACGTGTTCAACAGTTGCGATCGGTGAGACGTTAAGTCACGGTGGCAGCCCTGATTACAACATGTGATAACTATGGCATCTTTGAGCGCATGGTCACCGTAACACCCCTGTGCAATTTCAACTTACTAAGTCATATCGTTTCTGAGATATTATGCGCTAAAGTGCGGAAGTTTCTTTATAATCACCCTGCATATCAAATGTAAATCTGATGTTGGGGGGTGGGGGTGGGGGTGGGAGGGGCTAAAGCGTCTCCTTCAATTTTTCGACTTCATGTGCGTATCAGTTATGGATCGCACTGTTCCTCTTTTTTTTTTAAATTTCAAGTTATATTAATTCTTTTCCTTACTAATAAAAATTGAGCACATCCCTCTTGCTTTTCTTTCGACAACTGCGACGCGGCCAGACTCCCCAGTCAGCTGCAATCGACAGCAAACATTTGCATTCCGACCGTATGCAGACGAAAGGCACTCTTCATCACGCGAGGAAAAGAAAAAAAAAAGTTTTAAAAAAAGAGGACTCCTCGAGCCGACGCGGGCGGAGGAGTCCTTTATGCAAGGACTCCTCATTCCATAGCGCCCCTTCGCCATTGTGAGCCCCGGAAAGTCCACATTTATCTTTCCCTCCGGTTTCCTCGAAAACCAAGGCCGTTTTTCTCCATCGATTCCCTTTTTTTCCCCTCATATTAACAACAACAAAAAAATATGGCCTCACAAAAGACGCCTTGCATATTCATCGTGAGATCCACCATCAACAACTCCGTCCACGATTCACAGCGTAAAAGGCTGATGTCACCCTCTATCACGCTAGATGTCGCCCTCAATCGCGCTAGGTGTCGCCCTCGATCGCGCTAAATTTCGCTCTCGATTTCGGCCTTAGCATGGAGATCCGATAAATTATAAGGGCCCTGTAGGGCTATCGAGTTATGGTGATGAAGTCACGTGCGTCTAAGCATGTTCTTCGATCGTGATCCAGTTACGATAATTCCATCGCGATGGAAGAAGATACACCAGTTAAGAGGAACAGGTCACGCCATAGAATGTATATACATATTATACGTTTTTGAATATATACAGGGTGGTCCAAAAAAAACAAAGCTGTCATTTTGGGTGAGTCGTCAATCTCTTTGTAGGCTGCCGATTTTAATTAAAATTAGTAGAGTCATAGGGTGACTCAATTGGAGTTTGTATACCAAATTTCAGCTTTCTGGCTCTAAAATTATAAGAGTTGTAATTATTTTCTGATGACCAACGACAAGATGTGCTGTGGAGAATATCGAAATGACCTTGAGGCCGGGATGAAAGGGAGACGTCCCTAAACCAAATTGTGGTCTTTTCCGTGTTTGGCTTTTGTGCATTTGTTCTGTTTTGTTTCTGTCAGTTGGGAAAGATTTTAAGCTGAAAGAAACAAATGAACGCTTACTTTTTCGGTGATGAAATGTCAATTAAATGCCCATCTCACAGTTTTTGGAATTTTCATTTGAAACTTGGCACACAAACCCTAATTGAGTCACCCTATGTGTCTACCAAATTTCATAAAAATTGACAATCTTCCATCAGATTGACAACTTACCAAAAATGATAGCTTGGGGGTTTTTTTTTGGCCCACCCATATATACTAGGTATATGATGTTGAGTCCTATGTTTAATAAAGAACGGCTTTTTAAGCGATTACCTGGTAGGGCAGCGGCCTGCTTCCCACCAAGGCGCATAGATA